TATAGAAATGCAGCAGACACAGAGCGCCACAAACAAAACTGCAACATAAAGAAGGTTAAAAAAGGAAGAAATGGAACAAAAGGTACACACAACAGAAGAAAAAACAATAAAAAACTATATAAATAAAAAAAAGAAAAAAATAAATAAAACTAAAAGAAAAAAATACAAAAAGTGTGAAGAAATACAAAAAAGTATAGAAGAAACACATAAATATGAAAAAGCATGAACAGAAGTAAGCATACGTTTAGGCGCAGGGGCGGAAAGGGGCTAGAAAATGCAAATACCAAGACAGAATAGGTCTACAGCAGCGCAATAGTGAAGTTTTGAAGTGTAGAAGCATTGGCGGGCGAAGTTTGTGCAAAGGCGACACACGTCAACTAGACTCAGGGGTTCGAACGTAGGCATAAAACAAGCCATATCCAGACGCTTTTTAATTTTTAAAACGAAAAGGTGCAAGTAAGCAGACGTTTTGTTCCACACGCCGACGATGAAAGAGTTGGGAGTAATGCACTAACAAAACCAATACAAACAAAAAACGACGAGAAAAATTAAAACAACAAAGTGGTTTGCAGTGATGGCAACGACAACACCAGCAAATAAGTAGTAACTACTAAAGTAATAGTGGGAATGTAGATACGGCGAGAAGGCAAGCAAGCGCTAACACTTTGCAACGGCAGGGGGTGGCAACAAAGGGTAGGCAGGCTACAGCCTAGACACGACTAAAGCTAAATTAAGTAGACACATAGACGCTGCTGCCAGCACAGAGACACTTGATAACAGCAGCGCGACAGTCAAAGTCATTAACAATGTAGATTGTTGTTAGTTTTTCGGGGCAAAGTGACAAGCCGTCGGCAAGCAACGCTGAGATACTTAATTGTATATATGTACTTTAGGAGTATGTATGTGTTTAAATGTGTGTGGTGTCTATATCTTATGCCTCGTTGCATGCACAGACATAAATTTGTATGCAAATGCAGTTGTGAGATCCACTTAATGGCAACAGCGTTGCAATTGCAATTCAAGCGCACGACTTGCCTGCCCGAGTGCAGCAAGAATGGATAGGTACTTGAGTGTGTAAAGTGTAGCGCGCGAGCACAGTACCGTTAAAAAGGGTGAAAAGGTAAACAAAGGGGGGAAAAACAAGAAAAAATGTTAGCTTTGACTGCACGGAAGCTATACCCCCTTCAAAAGTAAAAATTTTCCATACAAGAATTTGAATTTGTATGACAGCTATATGTTATAGTAGGTCGATATGAATAATTTGGTCGGAGATTTTAGCATTGCCTTGGATGATAACCTAAGACAAATTTCGTGAAGATATCTCATCAAATATAAACGTTTTTTTATATAAAGCCTTAAGTTTGATTGATCAGTTTGTATGACAGCTATGTGCTATAGTGGGCCGATCTGAACAAAACGTACTGAGATTGCAGC